GAAGGATATTGAAGAATTATACCAAATAATAGATGTAGTGACTGGGAGCCTCTCCACTTCCTGTCCAGTTGGGCTTTTTGCCGAGTGACACTAAAATGAACAAATATTTCAAGATAAGACAGTGGGCACCGAGCTGAGGGCGGGTGTCACTTCACAAATGTGATGAAAACTTGAGCAGACACACTGTTTTTTAGAAAAGTCTGTGTCTCGATACTAATGCCAATGCTAATTTTGAAGTCTCATAAAAACTTAAAATACTGTAACACCACAAAAATAATCTACATACAAAGACAATTATGCAGTTGTTACTTTAGATCAGGGGTGTCAAACATACGGCCCGGGGGCCAGATCCGGCCCTCCAAGACCTTTAATCTGGCCCTCGCTTGATTTTCTAATAAAATATTTTAATTATATTTTCTATTAAAATATTATAAATTTTCTGCGGTGCTGAGCAGAGCAGTGTCTTGTCTCTTTCCAAACGCTCTTAAAGGACGATCGTTTTGACTGTTGACCGTGACACCCTCATCAGAAAAATGTCCAAAATGCGAAAAGTGGACGTCGAGTGCAGGACTTTGCAAGAAAAATTTACTTATTCCTATTTACATACAAGTTAATGTTAAAACATGTTGAAATTGCATTTTTCTTAAAGTTTCAGATTGTTCATAATATTTTGTAAAAGAAAGAGTTCATCAGTTTAAAAAGATTTCTGTAATAGATTTGCTTTTCTCTGCACAAATATTTGAACTTATTGCTATTTTTGGGGTTTATATGCCTTTTTTTTTTTTTTCGGCCCCTTTGGGATCAAACTAGGTTGGATACGGCCCCTGGACCAAAATGAGTGACACCCCTGATTTAGATTTTAATTGTTGAGGTTGAAGGATTATACTATTATATTTTAAGTTACAATTAGCCCAACCCATACAATTCCTAAGAAGTCGTCTCTGGTCGACTTGATTCTAATGAAATCGCTCTCAAAATATCCTACGGCTGTGTTTGCAAATTATATACAGGACCATTGTGCTTCACCAGAAATAACCAAACCACAATTCATCATCACACGTGATAAGGCAGTTTCATGAGGCAGCCTTTGTTTGTAGATATTTGACTCACATCATGATGCAAATGTTGACACTGCCTTTAGTTATTTCCCTAATGGATGGATTACAGTCCTGGATAAACATGCTCCTTGGTTTAGCTCAGACGTTTCTCATCGGATCATTTCATTAAACACACCACAGAAAGTCTAAATAACCCTTCATATTTTGGAAGATAAGAAACTTCCTGAATGAAAATAAATCAGACGTTAACTGTGACTGTGCACTATTTAGAGCATTTATGGTGGGTTCTGGGGGTCGTCCTCTGCAATATTTAACCAAAATCAAACAAACAAACCAAAAAGATTCTGACGTCACCAACATCCCCTGGAGGTGTGATGTTAATGTAGGCACTGCTCTGTCTGAAGCTCTGTTACTCAAGTTAGACTTTAATCTGAGCTTTTGTTTTAACACAATCTGAAGAGAAAGAACTGACTGAGCTGGAACTAGAACAGATGAGATGATTTTGTGCAGTTAAACAAGTCCCTCTCAAAGAACTTTAACACAAGCTTTAACCAACTGTTTTTCAGTGAGTCACAAGACCCGGGGTTTCAAAATGGTCGCCCACTGAAGTCAATGGATCGAGCTGAGTGTCTCATGACTCCAGATTCACCTTTAGCCCGGCGAGGTTCTTCCGGTGGCTCTGGGCCGATTGAGCATGTGCAGTAGAGTCTTTTCTCTCGCGGGCACACGGCAATGTACGAGAGCGCACGCACGGAGCGCGGGCTCATGTATCACATGATCACTTTGACCAATCAGAGCGAGAGGAGCGGGGCCAGAATGAACGATTAAAAAGCTGTTTTTAAGACAACTGAAGGATTTTGAGCTGAGAAAAAGTTTATGATCTAAAAATAGGTAAAAATCAACCACAAAATCCAACATTTTTGAAAGTTGTAGGTCCCTGTCAGCAGAACATGAGACGTTTGTGATTACATTGCCTCTGAGAAAAATCCTTTTTCAGCCCAGGAGATTTTTTCTGCTGAAAAACCATTGAGTGTCACTACATCAACTGGAGGCAACTACAAGCAGCAAATACACTATCCAGTTATTTTAATAGATCCATGGTGAGTCACTCTCATGTTTCTGTAGAAAATCAAACACCTCAACAGACCATCAACGTATTGACACAGGCTCCTGAAAATGTGTTGCTTAAATCCATTTAGTATTTTCTCCTGAGTATCTTGAAGCGTTTTGGTCATTACCATTATTACTAGAGCCCGACCGATATGGATTTTGTTGTGGCTGATATGAAATGGATATAATGGGAGTTGGAGCTGCCAATAGCCGATATAATCGCCGATATATTTAGTGATGTAAAAATTCACTGTAAATCTTGAATTATTTAAAAACTTAAGTTTGGCTCTAGTGGATTCTAAATTGGGTTTATTTAGGCAACATTTATTGTTATTCTGACTCTTTACATCATATTTACAGACAGTACGTCGGCCTAATGGCATTTTTGCATCACATTCTAGGTACTAGTGATGGGTATTCCAGTTTTTTGTTGTTTTTTTGGAGAACCGGCTCTTTTGGCTCGGCTCACTAAAGCAGCTGGCTCTTTCGGCTCCCAAGCGACTCTTGAAATTTTTTGTTGCAAGCAGGACTAAACCAGAACTGAACCAGGACTGAAAAAGGACTAAACCAGGACTAAAACAGATTTAAACCATGTGTGAAACAGAACTAAACCAGAACTGAACCAGGACTGAGTGTTGGGACTCGGTCTCTATCTCTCTCCCTCACTCGAGCCCAAGATTAGTCCTGGTTTATTTATTTTATGCTAAACTGCAGCCAAATATGCACTTTTTTTTTTTTATCCTGTGCACACGCAGATTTCTGAAAGTTTCGTTTTCAGCCGCTGCTGCTGTCAAACTACGGGTCTACAAGCGGCTTGAAGAGAAAAAGTGAGAAAAAGAGAAAACACGGCTCCCAATAAGAAACATGCTCCCGTTGTTCGCTTCAAAGAGCCGGCTCTAAGAGCCGCTTCGATCGCGACCGACCCATAACTCCTAGCTAGTAAAGAAACTAGCGCTATTGGCCTTTAGCCGTAAAAACGTGCGCACAGCGGTAATTAATTATATGCATAAATGTGGATCATTCACACGTCTAGTCACAGCTCATTTACATATCAATGCAGGTCCAGTAACAAATATACGGTCAATATATTCACTTTACAATAGGCCAACAGAAAACAGCCTGTTTATGTGCAGGAGCTACAGCAGCTAATCGCTAACAAAACCTAAACTAGCTTCAAAGTCGATGTATTTCCAACACTCAGCCTCACACAGGCTCCTCCCACATCACAAGTCTGAACTAATAAATGTCCTTTTAATCCAGACTCAAACCAATTGTCGTAAAAAGAATATAATCTCAGTGTTGCGCACGGCTGCGGGTGTAAACAAACACACGTGAGTGAAGTGACGTGACTCTGTGGTGTGTTCAGGGACAGTACGACACACAGACAAATTACACCGCAGATAAATACTGATGCGGAGCCACATATGAGGACATTTATCTGTCTGTAAATTGGATTAAATGAACATAATGTAGAGAGTCTAAGCTTTATAACGAGGTATAACATGCCCACGTGAAATATCGGCCCATATCAGCGAGCATATCTGCCGATAGCCGATATGTCTCCAGGTGCCCATATTGGCCGATAATATCGGCCAGCCGATATATCGGTCGGGCTCTAATTATTACTAATGTGTGCATTGTGTCACCATGGTAACTGCTGAAAATTCTGCCATAGCTTAACAGGCAGAACACCCCCAGTGTGATGTCACTGCAAAGTATCAAGTCATTTCCTGTAATCCACATCGTTCTNTTTATCGACACAGCAGATGCGCGTACAGGCTGAGTGCAGAAAGCACCGCTGTCTGTGCTGTGAACATGAAGCCGCAACACAAGATAGCGCCGCAATCAGAGCACCAAAACAGTTCATGTCCGTCTGACAAAACAAGTCATGATGCCAAATCAACATGAGTGAGTGAGATACGTCTCAATGGTCACATGCGTCAAATTCCAAACGAGAAGAAATGACCATACCCAATGGACACAACTAGCCTAGCCCCAGGGAGAGCCCGAAATCCACTGAAATCCCACAAAACACCGACACGACACCAGACAGGACAGAGGCTTCCTCAGAGCAAACAGGATCATGTGTCGCAGGTTCATACGAACACTTCAAGACCAAAATGACGAGGCTCACGCACAGAGAGAGGAGCCACAATATTCCAATGACTAAAATAACTTTTAAGGCAGTTTTGTTACAGAGATTTAATAATCCATTTATTTATTGTTTTGGTTGGGTTTGGTTCAACAAATGGTTTATTCAAGTGCAGCAAGTCCTCGCTGTGAGCCAGACAACATTAGGCTGTTCTTATGTGAACAAGTCTATTTTATTTAGGCCTATTGTTTTTGGTTGTCTTACAGTTCCTGTGTTAAATGTTCTTTAGAAAGTAAAGTTCATTGATCTTTGAAAGTTTGTATTTGCATTTTTTATTCCATGGTCGTTGTATTAGTTGAAAATGGTCTCGAAATGTGAATATTATCATTTATCACTATAAATTCTTGGTCAATTAATCGTCCAGGAAAATCTGTTATCATTATAGGCCTATGCATCTCACTCCCACAGGGACATAAAGATCACCTCTTAATGTAGCACCTACACACACCAAACTTTACAGTTTTGTACATAACACGATTTTGACAAATTGTACTGAAGGATTTTAATATATAATTTTAAAACTGATTTATCAAAGCTTTAACTAAAAAATAAGATATGCAAAACACACAACTCCAGGTCTGTTTATGAGGAGGAAACAACATTATAACATAGATCAGCTCTTTCTTGTTGACAGCAGCCATGCGGTTAACAAAGAAACATTTTTCTGATTAGTAAGTGAGATGACTAGTCTAACAGTGGTCCCTGCTCCTCTCTCAGCCCTGGCTCCAGTTTCCTCTCGACACTTCATCTTTGTCTATGAGCTGAAGACCCAGGAGGAGGCGCGGAGCTACTGCAGACAGCACTACACCGACCTGGCCACTGTGGAGAACATGGAGGACGTACTCACCCTAAACGAGATGGTCGACCGGAGCAGACTGCAGCTGCTCAAACCTCCAGACGGATTCCTCAATGTAAGTGTAGAGACATTAACGGGAGTGAGCCTTAAGGCGGTCACTCAGCGCTATGCTCGTCCTGAGTCGGCCACCACCACTTTTTTGCTAAACTCGTTGTAGTTAAAACGCTCATGGTTAACAGTTGGCAAACTCATTCTACACAAGGAAATCTACTTCTGTGGTAACTTTCTCTTTACATTTCATTCAATAATCCAAGTTTGAAAGTAGTTTGGAAAAAAATGCGTCAGGATTGCTCGGGCAATGTTTTTCAGTCATTCAATGTTCTATAATTCCAGAAACACAGTACAAATACACGCCTCTGTGGTCATTTAATCAACAAAAATGTACTCGAGACAATAAGCGGACTGAGAGGGAAAGGGGAAAGGTGGATCCTGGCTTTATGTGATGGATTTATTTTGCTCTTCAAGTGCATATTTTCCCCTTTGCTGCTTATGTTGCACACAGAAGAAAGGGAAAGTTAGTGCTGTTGTTTCAAATTCATTTTGTCTTTTTAAATCTTTTACTGAAAAAAGTATTCATTAAACATCATTATGCTGCATTTAATATTAAACAATAGATGGTAGATGGTAGATTTACATTAAAATCTAATTCTAAGAGAATGATACTATAATATATAGTATACTATACTATATTTGGGAAAGCATCAAAAAATGTCTTTACCTAAAAAAAAAAATTATAACGATTACGCATATTTTGTTACCACAAATATGAAGAAATATGTATCACTGTGTTTTGAAGATTAAAATAGATGTATGTTTATCTGATGTATTTTAAAGTTTTATCAATGGAGACAAACAAAGAGGAGAAAAGCAAGTGAGACAGCAGGAATGTGAGTGGACACATATCACCACAAGGCCAAACTTCAGTCTATCATAAAATAAAGACCACACACTTATTGCAGATTAACAATAATGACTCTACTTCCTGTGAACTTTATCTGTGCTTTAAAAATCATGTATCTGAAGTTCTGCACCACATTTCACAAATAATAATAACACAGTTTTGACTTGCATCTGAACTAGAAGTGCAGAGCTCTGATCTTTTGAACACTTAAGAGTCTCAAAGTGACTGGTTTTACTGTAGACAGGAAACAGCTGAGGCGTGATGCACTCACACCTGTTTATCTTGTGGTCCGCACACAGATCCCACTGAAATCTTTGTGATCGGAGATTTTAAATCTCATGAGATTCTCCTTGTGTCTGTGGTGTGCACTTTTTGTCGCACATTTAAAAATTGTTTAAAGGTTGTATGGAGGATTTTTTTTTTAGTTTCAAATTGTCAATGATAGCATTATAGAGATGCAGTAGCCTTGTAATTATGATGACTAAGAAAAGAGAATAAAAATTCATCAACTCTGGACGTGGTGGGGCTAAACATTTGCCAATAGATAACGACACTGCCTCGTTATCTGTGAGCTGACAGGCTGTCAATCAAACTCCCTACGTTTCTAGTGTAACTGACTTGCCTGCGCGCCGCCGGTACGTGGTTTACGTACGACTGTCACGCAGTCCACAGACGCAAGACGCACAGACGCTGTTTACTCCACCAACGCAACAGTTCTTAGCGGCTTTTTTTTGACCTATATCTTCCTCGCAGTTCGCACAAAGTTTGTTGCAATGGCGACAAGAATCCAGGAGCAGTTCGCCGCAAAAGAAAGTCAGTTTTTGAGGTCGCTGAAAGAAGAAGACAAGGGGAAAAGCAGCGAAGCCAAACTAAGGTGATTCTTGTAGATTCATTCCAGCGATGGCGCGAACTGAAGCAGACGAAGGGTCTAAAGACTGACGCACTGGTCCACAAATTACTCCTGGACAGGAAACTTCTGCTTATTATGAAAACGTACTTTATTTCCAAGAGCTAGACAAACGTTGTTCAGGACACGAATGCGATATCCTATGTCTGAAAACGTAATTTTCAAGGCAAAGAAAGAGTCCGCTTGCTGCTGCGTGTTGTAGCTAGTTCATTGGCACGGAATCTCCGCGCACCTTCTCTGCACCCCTTTCCTGCTCCTCTCCCGCTGCCCGTTCCGCTCTTCTCCCTGCTCCTCACTTCTTATCTGCGCACGAAATGTCCGCGCACCCCCTCCCGCCGCTCCTCACTTCTCCGTCTTGTCTAACCAACACTGTAGTTAGTTGTTTACAAGTCATGTGCAGCACCGGCTGTAAACAAACCTGTTTGTGGCGTAAGGAGGAGGAGGGAGGAGGCGTTTCTACGTAAGGAGCTGGATTTCTCGTTCCTTGGAAAATCCTCTATACAACCTTTAAGACCAAAAACTCCTGTTGTGTGTGGCGGCGTTTAGGGTGCACATACGTTGATGGTCGTGGTGCTGGGGTGGATTAGCCACTAGATCAGGAATCAGAATACACTAGACGGTTTGCAAAAACCCTAGAAGTTGTCGACCGCACACCGGCCAATCAGTGAAGAGTTGTGAAGTCATGACGTCAAACTGGTGGCGTCTGTCTGTGTCCCTTTTGTGGAACAGCACAACAGTAAACAAAGCGTTGAGATGAATGTAGACGAAGACAGACATTCTGTGTTGACAATAATTCCCAAGATCAAGGATTTAAAGCTGGAACAAAGAGAATGTTTGGTGAATTTCATCAAGGGGAAAGACGTTATTGTCCTTCTTCCTACAGGATTTGGGAAAAGCTTAATATACCAGTTAGTCCCATTAGTGGAGCATTACATACGTCAAGACCAAATAGCAGCGATTGGTTAAATAAAAAAAGTACCCGTCTACCATCGAGCGAACGAATCCTAATGCTGCAAGGTCAGACGGTTTCTACGAAGTGAAACCAGCTGATGAATCAGACTGTGGGTGGTTGTAGCACTGGTAGAATTAGTAGTACTGGTAGTATCAGTAAAACTGTTGTAAAAGTTGTACAGCCTCCTGAGAGCATCAAAAAGACAGACAGATGTATTGACCTGATACACATGGTGTGTTCAGTCGTATTTTAAAGACTTGAGTGTTCAGATGTTGTGTGGTCCATGTTCACAGGGTACCTGGATCGGGCTGTATGATGACGTCAACACTTGGAGCTGGTCCCTGTCAGACCCGACCTACTACAGCGAGGGACAGGAGAACTACAGGAACTGGGCTCCTGGGCGCCCAAATAACATCCGCGCAAACCAGTTCTGTGTCTGGATGTATCAAAGCGGACAGTGGGAAGACTACGAATGTACCTACCGATTACAGGCCATCTGTGTGAATCTGACAGGTGAGATTCTGGGCTGGTTCCACATCATGCAGCTCCACTTCACCTTGAACACGAGCAGTTTAAATTCTCAAAATGCATTTCGCTCTGAGGGAGAATTCTTTCTGGCCCCAAGCTCCCGGAGCTGCAGTACCTGGAGCGGCCACTAGTCTGTCTGGAGCCAGGACAGAGGGGGAGGGGCTTATCCAGATTATTATAGATCCATGGAAAGATCCAAGATGCCAAGGCAGAAGTAATCGATCCAAAGTGATCAAATCTAACTTAGTAACAAGCAGGAAATGGTGCAGTGAAGCGATCTGATTGGTCAGAATCAGCCTCATCCAAACTTTCATCTCTTTTATTTGTTCAGTGTAAACTCCGCCCACAGACGAGAACGGCCAATAGGAAACAGCCTCTGTCCTCCTCACTCACACAGGATCGATTACTTCTGTCTTGGAGCTTTGCTGTGAATTTTACACTCTGAATTTTGTTTTGAATTTGAAACATATTGATGAAAAAGTATACTTAAAATTTCAGCAACTAAAATCAGAAAAAATAATTCTAAACTTTTTTTTCAGAGTTAAAAAACTCAGCAACAACATATCAACAAGGTTCAAAGCTCATAATATTGTTGTCTGGGATCCAGACTCGTTCTCTCTTTATTTTCTATACATATATTTCTCTAAACTGTATTTTGTGTATTTTATATCCGCTCTCAGGCCAAACTCAAACACGACCGTCCAATCAGGTTTGGTTATTTCAGTGACATGTTTGAGTCTGGCTCGAGGTGGGACAGAGGGAGTGGAAACCAGACTGAAATCCCTCTGTATAAAATATACAGATATCAGAGATCATTCTGGATTTGACAGACAAGTAATCTCACAGTTAAACAGCAAATTCTACCACAGACTTCTGAGCTGTCCTCCAGTTCAGTTAAACTATGGAGATTCTAGGATGTGGTGATGTCACACAAATGTCTCAGAGTAAATCCAAACAGGACTTATCTTATTCATGTGTGTGAAACTCTGACAGACTGTTTCTGTTACGTCCCAGGATCCTCAGAGACCTTTGTGCTCACTACTGCCTCCTTCACCTGGGAGGAGGCTCAGCAGTACTGCAGGCAGCACCACACAGACCTGGCCAGTGTGAAAAACGCAACCCAGAACAGCCAAATCGCAGCCCTGATCCCCACCAACAGTGCCTGGATCGGCCTCAACAGGCAGCGCTGGAGGTGGCTGGATGGAAACAACTCCACTTTCTCCTTCTGGAAAACCCTGCAGCCTGATAACTATGAAACACTCGAGCACTGTGTGGTGGCAGACTTTGAGTCTGGAGGAAGATGGGCGGATTCAAACTGTGACAAGATGAGGCCTTTCATCTGTTACGGCTGGGCTGGTGTGTATCCTGTTATTCTTCAACATATGAGTACAAATGACTTGACTTGGATTCTTGATTCTCACTAATCAAAGGACCCAATTTGTTTCCATGTATTTGAGCAAAACTGAAATACAATACATAACCTACTGTGAAAAACAACTCACTTTGAACTGAAGTCATTTTAACTCAAGAAGATAATTGTACACCAAACAACAGCAGAAACATACTAACTACACAATTATTGAATCATTTGTTCTTTTTGTTTCAGTGAAGAAATACAAGATCAAACTACAGCTGAACACAACCATTGCAAATCTAAATGACCCTGTGGTGATGGAACAACTGCTCCAGCAAGTGAGTCACATTAGTGATTGATTGATTGATTGCATTTATATAGCACCTTTCAAGATACCCAAAGCACTTTACAGTTCATTATTCAGTCACTCCACACTCAGTGGTGGTAAGCTACTACTGTAGCCACAGCTGCCCTGGGGCAGACTGACGGAAGCGAGGCTGCCAATCTGCACCATCAGCTCCTCCGACCACCACCATCACTCACGCTCACACCACTTTCATACTAGGCAGTGCCTAAGGACACAATGACAGTTTTTTGCCACTGGCGCCGCACTGTGGCACCTGCAATTCCTAGCAGTCTCCCATCCAAGTACTACCCAGGCCCATCCTGCTGAGCTTCTGAGATCTGACGGGATCAGGTTTTTACAAGCCGGTATGGCCACGTGGCACATAAAGGCAGAGCTTCATCTGTTTCTACATATATGTATAAGACGTCAATGCTCCGATCAACCCCGGCCACCGCTACACACTAGTGCTGTCACCACACACAAACTGTGATTTTATTTCTGTATCGATACTTGCTCAAAGGAGTATTTACTTCAGTATCTGTTAGTATCTGATTTTCAGTATTTTTGACAATCCTAGTACAAGTCCACTGATCCAAACTTCATCTCTCGATTTTATTTCCTTAATCAGTGATTCATGTATTATTTACCAGAGTTGCAAAGTCATTTTGGCAGAAATGAAAATGGGTCTTGTGCCAGTGCCTCAGCATTTTCTGCTGTTACTGAGAGCCTTCACTCTCAATGACACCAAGTCATCGAGTGTTTTGCCTCGTGGCCTTTTTTCACCCTGAGGACCTGGGCTCAAACAAAAGGGGGTTCATCTCTAGTTTTAGGTGCCGTTATTTGTTACTGTGGAGCCCAGATACAAAAGCTGTTTACATGTTCAGTGACGTCATGGCCGAGCTGTAGTGGGGGTGGATCAGGTCAGGATGGTGTCTTCAGCACATTCAAGGTCAGTCCAAGGGGAGTTGCTGAAGGACACTCCGGGGACCCGCTCGCCGACTCTAAGCATCAGGTGGTTTGTACCATTAACACGGTTAAAATTCGTCTGTTATAAATGTTCATATCTTGATTTAGGGACAAAATAGTGAAATAAAAACCCCAGGATCACACAGAGTCGGTTAACACAAACATTTTAAGGTCAGAATGACGAGCCTGGTGGCAGCAGTGAGAACCACCATTTTATAACAGAAAGTAAACTGCAACCAGAGCTCGAAGGAACCACTTTGTGCCCAGGCTCACTTCCTCTTTGGAACACAGCCGTCTATGGCTGCATCAGAACAAGTATAAAACCACATATACAGGACGACTGAGGGATTACACAGATATAAGACCACACGGTAACAGAAAAGAAAGATCTACCATTTAATGGTGAAAATGACATTCTGTTATCTAAAAAAGTGTTTTTTATTATCATTGTGGCATCAGAATCAGAATATTGGGAATCAAGTCTATTCTTTAGTATCAAAATCAAGTTTAAATTTGTAGTATTGTGACATCACTAGGTGGGGGCAGGGGAGAATAGGCACATTGAGCTCTGCAATTTTCCAACCAGGAAATCAGCCGACTTGTTTCTTGTTTGTTTTACGTTGATATTATGATTTTAAATGTGTAAATTACAACATAATGATCCACCGGTGTCAAAGATTATAAATATAATATGTCTTCTTTAATATCTAACACACAATGAATTTAAATGTTACAAATTATGATTTTAATTCATTTTTTTTAGATCGCTCTACGCGTGGGGAGAGCCAACGCCACTGATCTGCTCAAACTCAGCTGGGTTAAAGACGCCAACGGAAATGTTTTTAACAAAACAACCACCCCGTAAAAATGTACTGAGAACTAGAGATGAACCAATGAACCACATACAGACCATCGAAAACATCTCTGATAGACTAGAGTGAAACTTTCAAACCTTTATTTCAGGACATTTTGATTATTATGGCTCACAGACAATGAAGAAAATCTAAAATTCTGTGTCTCAAAATTAGAATAGTGTTAAAAAGTTCAATATTGGGAAGTCGTGGTGTCACACTCTAATCAGCCAATTAACTGAAAACATCTGCAAAGGTTTCCTGAGCCTTTAAATGGTCTCTCAGTCTGGGTCAGTGGGCTGCACAATCACTGACCCTCTCTACAAGAAGAACGACAGAAAAGGTCACAGAGTCCTGTATCCAAGTAAATTCATAAAAACAAGTGAAAGAAAAAAAAAGGGAGGCAAAGGTGCAGCAGGAATTCAGACCAAAAAGCCAAACCGAGTGTTGAGAGCAGAGAAATGAACACACTTTTCAGAAGCCGGACATTTCTGTTTAATGTTTTTATCTTATGTAATATTCTATTTTTCTGAGACACAGAATTTGGGGTTTTCATGATCTGTAAGTCATAATCATAAAAATGTCAAGAAATAAAAACTTCAACACTTGTGTTTATATAATATATGGGTTTGATTTTCTGAAATAAGTGACAAAAAATATAAATTTTTCATGATATTCTCATTTTCTGAGATGGTCTGTACATCTCTCCCTCCTCTGTACCAAATATTCTTAATATTAATCATCCTTGTTGTGAATTTACTTTATTATATATTTTCTATTTTATCTTTACTTGCACATAAACATTTATATAATTATGCTGTATTTGACACTCGTCTCTTACTATATTTATAATGTGTGAGTTACTGTGTGTAATTAATTTTCCTTGTGGATCAATAAAGTTTGTCTAAAGAGTCTAAAGAATGTCATGAATAAATAAAGAATATTATCCACCCAAAAGGATCAGAATATAAATCTATAATAAAAACTACAAAACAAGAGTTTCTCTCCTCTTCTAAACCACAATAAAACCTGCAGCCTGTTCAAGTTAATGCAACAGCACCACCTACAGGTTTTAAGAAGTAATACAGGATTCTTATCATGTCACAAAATGACTTTATTTATTAGTTCAGTTTCTCCATCTTCAGACACAGAATATCAGGTTGGCTCAAATGCCAAATGTAAAGAAAATTTTTAAAAGCACAGAGAGCATAAAGTCTGGACTGCCACAAAATTAAAGGAGAACTGTGTCATTTTTAGGAGGAGAGTCCGTCACCATGGAGACGTCATTTCTTTACCTGTTACTGTCCACAGTCCAGTATTAAAAAACATACAAACAAAAAAAAACACTTTTAAATCTTAATCCTTTCTGTTCTGACCACAATGATTCACACTAAGATCTTGTCAAGACATTTAAAAAGGAAAAATAAGCATTTTGCGACTCTTAAATAAATATTACTTTAAATATACCAATTAGTACAATTAGTAAAATTTTTGTAACTATTTTACTCAACTCATTACGCTACGGTCTGCTTCCCTTCTCTGCTCACAGCCGAGTGCGACAGGACAAGATGTTTTTACATGTGCGATTATTGGAACACGCCCACTCCTCATTGATTGGATATCATCAGTGCATCCTCCAATGAAATTACAAAAACACAAGATTGACATACAATAGAGTTCGGTTGTGCAGATACAACGTGCTATGCTCATGTACAATTTTAACAAACTCGGTCTATAACAAAATTAACTTTATCAAATGAAATTGACGAAAGCCTCTGCTTGGCTGATAACATTTTAAACTATTTATAAGAGATGTTTTTATCAGACTAATCAAATATATTTATATCAATTTGAGATGTTTGTAACAATTACTTATTCATAGTCAGAGTCATATTTATTGCTATTTATTAAAGGTTGTATGAAGGATTTTTTTTTGTTTCAAACTGTCAGTGAAAGATTAAAATACCATTACAGAGACGCAGCAGCTTTGTAATTATGATGACCAATAAAAAAAACAACGAAAATCTATCAACTGTGGACGTAGTGAGGCCAGATAAACATCAGCCAATAGAAAACGAGGCTCCCTCATTTTCTATTGGCTGTTGGGTTGTCAATCAAACTCCCTAGTATAACTGACTCGTCAGAGCGCGGGGATTACGTGGTTTACGCAGCGGTTCTTAGAGGCTTTTTCGAACTGTCGCTTCCTCGCATTTCGCACAAAGTTTGTCGCGACGGCGGACGAGAATCCACAACCGGTTCACCCCAAAAGAAAGTCCGTTTTTTGAGATCACTGAAAGAAGAAGAGAAGTGGAAAAGGAGCAAAGCCAAACTGAGGTGATTCCTGGAGATCTCGTCCAGCGATGGCGCAACCGAAGCAGATGAAGGGTCTAAAAACTGATGCGTCGGTCGCTGAATTACTTCTAAACAGGTAACTTCAACAGTAATTCTGAATGCGCACAAGGACTGTTGCTATATTTCTCTTCCCTTAAAAAAATCCTCTATACAACCTTTAAGATGAAATTATTAGTATTTTATCCAGTTCAGTCTAAACCAAAGTAATTGGCTCACAGGCCACATAAGGTCCTAAAATCTGACTGAAGGGCCGGACAGTACACAGGACATGACGTGTTAAGAGCTCAGCTGCATTGTATTCGTATTTACGTTTATGTAGGAAGCGCACTACGCGCTTCAGCATTGCCGCGAAAGATTCAGAACACATGAAAAGTGAACACATCTGCTCCACAGCATATCACAGGTGAAGAAGAATTGTAAGAGATTTATTGAGAAATAGAGCCCACGCCACAAAGTCCCGCACATACACACATATCACATACACACCTACCACATCTACCACACCTACACACATACCACACATACACACATACACACATACCACACATACACACATACCACACATACACACCTACACACATACCACACATACACACCTACACACACACACTACACACATACCACACCTACACACATACCACATACACACCTACCACACTACCACACACATACACACATACCACACATACACACATACACACACCTACCACACATACCACACATACCACACATACACACCTACACACATACCACACATACCACACATACACACACATACACACATACCACACATACACACATACACACATACACACATACCACACCTACACACACATACACACATACACACATACCACACTACACACATACCACACCTACACACATACCACACATACACACCTACACACATACACACATACACACCTACACACATACACACATACCACACATACACACATACCACACATACACACCTACACACATACACACATACCACATCTACCACACCTACACACCTACACACATACACACCTACACACATACACACATACCACACATACACACCTACACACATACCACACATACCACACATACACACATACCACACATACACACCTACACACATACCACACATACCACACATACACACCTACACACATACCACACATACCACACATACACACATACACACATACACACATACACACACATACCACACATACACACATACACACATACACACCTACACACATACATACACACATACACACACATACACACACATACACACCTACACACATACCACACACATACACACATACACACATACCACACATACACACACTACACACTACACACATACACACATACACACATACACACACATACCACAACATACACACATACACACATACCACACATACACACATACACACATACACATACACACATACCACACATACACACATACACACATACACACATACCACACATACACACACACACATACACACATACACACATACACACATACCACACATACCACACATACCACACATACACACACATAACACACATACACACATACCACACATACACACCACACATACACACATACCACACATACACACATACACACATACACACATACACACATACACACCTACACACATACACACATACACACATACACACATACACACACATACACACATACACACATACTACACACATACACACATACACACATACCACACATACACACCTACACACATACCACACATACACACATACACACACACATACACACACACACATACACACATACACACATACACACACATACCACACATACACACACACACATACACACATACACACATACACACATACACACATACACACATACACACATACACACACACATACCACACATACCACACATACACACACATACACACATACACACATACACACATACACACCTACACACATACCACACATACACACATACCACACATACCACACATACACACATACACACATACACACATACCACACATACACACCTACACACATACCACACATACACACCTACACACATACCACACATACACACCTACACACATACCACACATACACACATACCACACATACACACATACACACATACACACATACCACACATACACACACATACACACATACACACATACACACATACACACATACCACACATACACACATACACACATACACACATACACACATACACACCTACACACATACCACACATACACACACATACACACATACACACATACCACACATACACACATACACACATACACACATAACACACATACACACACACACATACACACATACACACATACCACACATACACACATACACACATACACACACACATACACACACACACACACATACCACACATACACACATACCACACATACCACACATACACACATACCACACATACACACATACACACATACACACATACACACATACACACATACCACACATACACACATACACACATACACACACACACATACCACATACACACATACACACATACACACATACATACCACACATACCACACACACATACACACATACACACATACACACATACACACACACATACACACATACACACATACCACACATACACACACATACACACATACACACACATACACACACATACCACACATACCACACATACACACATACACACATACCACACATACACACATACACACATACACACATACACACATACCACACATACACACCTACACACAACACACACACTACACACATACCACACATACACACACATACCACACATACACATACACACACATACACACATACACACATACACACATACAACACACATACACACATACACACACACATACACACATACACACATACACACATACACACATACACACATACACACATACACACATACACACATACACACATACACACATACACACATACACACATACACACATACACACATACACACATACACACCTACACACATACACACATACACACATACACACATACACACCTACACACATACACACCTACACACCTACACACATACACACATACACACCTACACACATTACACACCTACACGGGCAATACAACAAAACTCCTAAGATGTTTCATGTGTTATATGTTCAACTTAATGTCTTACAGTTTTGAATTTATGATTCTTACCAAGTTA